GAATTAAATTTAGAAAAGCCTTAGAAACCATATTATACATGAACAAATGGACCAAGATATTACTGTTCATAGTTTGAGGCCATTCACCAGGATGACAAAGACAAAACCTGGGCTGAGTGGAAGGATGGTGAGTTTCGAGGGTGTGAAATACTCTGCCGTTCAGGTTCAGCTACTTTCAGAGAAAGAAAATAAAGCTGCATGAATTTTCCAGTTAATCACCTAACCTTAATAGAACATCGATAAAAAGAACTAGACTTTAGAGGTACTAGAAAGAGTTCACAGAACCCAAAGGATTAAAGGAGTATGTGGAAGAAAGTGCCTAAATCCCACCTGACCATTGGAGGTGGCCCTCCTTACAAGTGGAGACTTGAAGCAATCTTCTTCAACAAAGGCATCTGTTACAAAGCATTAAATGAATTTCTGCAAGAATGTCTGGCACTCTTCCCTTATGCCATTCCATTTTATTTCACATAACTAAATTCACAGACATCTGTGGTCAACGTCTATGCATTTTTACACTAGATGGGTTCTAATTCATGTCAGTGACTCCTTTAGAAACATGTTAATTATTGGCTCTTAGTTTAAGTTTTATAGTTTTGATTAGCTATTTATGTAAAACCTGTGAACTATGGTCATTTTAAGATTTCTGACACAAAAACGGTGGAGTATGAGATTATATTTCAGTATGTGCTGGAAATTAGATTTAAATAAATGTAGAATTTGGTGAATTCTGGATTACATGGTAAAATATCCTTTCAGTTTTATCACAATTGTATGCAATATGTTACATGGACCACATACAAGAGCCAACCAAGTAAACTAGGGGTAAATTAGCAGATTGGAGCAAAATACCTACACCAGCTGGTATCTTGACTTTCACTGCCACCATAGCTCCAATGGTCACATACGTCAATATGCCTGATTGCCACGTACCAAAGCAAAAGCATTTATCCAAATTCGTCACTGGAAAACAAGCTAAGGAGGTCATAAGAAAAGTGTTAGGACAGCACTAAGACAGTAATTACAAATGTTGACTGTTAGAACTAAGATGAATACTCCTTGAAGGCTTTGCACTGTACAATGGTGATCAGAAACACTAGAAGGAGAGTGACACCACCAAAAATGCACCATCTGAACCTACTACCACTCCCCAATGTCTATACTGCAGAAAAATATGTGGGACTGGACTTTTCACACACCTGAATATCTACAGGGACCAAACAGAGGACAGTCATATTTGAATTCAAGTGACCACAGATGATGATGCCGATGATAACATGTTACACGTTAAATAAGGGTGCCTAGGGAAAATTGCTGTCTTGATGGAAAACTAATTTTCCCACTCAGACAGTTTGATCACAGAGCGTAAAATCTGTGCTCCTCCTCCTCCTCCTCAAATCTTCTCCCTGACTTACAGAAAGGCCTCCCAAGACATTTTCCCTGAGTGAGCCTGACCTTCCATTAATTGACTCTAAATTGGATTGTGACAATGCAGACTTTCCAACAAGGCCGTGTCCCTTGAGGAGTTTCACTCAGAAGTTGTAGTTGCAAAGCATCATACAACACAAGTAGTTCTTATGCTGGAAAAAATAAGCCACACGGGGGTTGTTAACTCGTTCAATAACGTGGATTACATTCTATTTTCAGAACAAATATAAAAATAAAAATAAAATAGAAAAAAAGCTTCTATAGCATCTTCAAGAAAGGACAAAAAAAATCCAACAGTACAACATTGTTGTACCTTATTTAAAAAAAAATCTTCTTTATCACAGTGAAAATATAAAATTTCAAAGACAATGTAAAGTTAGTATATAACACATTCACAATTTGAATATTATTGGCTTTTGAAGAAAGTTAAAAGCTATTTTAACATCTTTTTTAACTGTTTATTCTCATGAGCCCTCGTTTATCCAACACTGACTACAGAAATGGAAAATAATGCCTCAGTAAAATCAGACTTCCTGTTGTGCAGTCTGTTCAACCATGCAACATTTCATCTTTGTACAGACTAACAAAAGTATAAAAGCTTCACACTGTTAAAGGTAGTAACACTTATGCAAGTGTGAGGTATCTATACCTTCACACAGTGCGCTATAACAGAGAAAAGAAACATCAATGACTGTTTAATCTTTTTTTCACAGACTTACAAGTTTGTTTTTTTTTACCTTCACATATTGTTTCTATTTATAAAAATATGTTTCCAGTTTTCTCTAACAGCAGTAATCATTGGTAACACAAAAATACATTCCACATTTAGTTAATAATACTTAGATGTGGCAGTGTCAGTCTGAAGTTTATGGATTTTAATCGCTATATATTACAAGGTAAAATAAAAATACAATATAAGAATGAAATATAATCAAAAACTTTAGTTTTATGCAAATGTTCTCATCTAAATGCAGGTTTAAATCTCTTCTGCTATTTGAAAAAAATGTGTGGTCACATAAGGACAAGACTAAGCTATTTAGGGGTTATAAAAAGAAATTAGACAAGTGAAGTAAATATTTTTTTACACGAAAGAGCATTAAACAAACTGTGAGCATGGTGGTGGTAGTATCATGCTGGGTATAGCATCAATGATTAATGATTCAATTGCATCGATGCAAAATTAAAACATAGAGCCACATCGTCATCTTTAAGATACGCCTTGATTTTAAAATTCACTGTTATGATTCTCATTATAAGGAGAACACTCTCCTTGTATTTAAATGACCAAATCTTATATTTTTGTTAGACTGGCAGATATGAGGTTTAATGGATCACAGATTTGTAAACTAAACTGAATAGAAATTGTATTGTTGCAGACTTTACTAACGTTGAGTTTGTGGATTTAAATGTGCTCCATAATTGTGCAAAAATAGAGTGGTTATATATCATCCAGAAGGATGCCAGGGCTTTGTTGAGGGCTCCAACAGTTGTGGACTTAAGGTACATCAATCCAAATATTAGTAGAGATATATGTAATTGAGCCTGAATTAGAGAAAGGTATCTATAATACACTGCTAAAACCAAAAAAAGGAACACATCTCAGATCTGAACAAATGGCATATTCTCACTCGATAATTTGAAAACAAAATTACACAAAAATCACTAATGGAAATAAAAGTTATTAACTAATGCAGGCGTGTTTTTGGAGATGAACACAAAATTAAAGTAGAAAAACACACCACAGGTTCATCCATCTTTGATATAATGTCCTTATAATAGATCAAAATGAGGCTCAGTATAGTGTGTGGCCTCCATGTGCCTGTATGACCTCCCTACAACGCCTGGGTATGAGGTGGTGGATGGTGTCATGAGGGACAGCATCTTCTTCCAGACCTGAACTAAAGCTTCCCCTAACTCCTGGACAGTCTATAGTGTAATGTGATGTTGGTGGATGGATAGAGACATGATGTCCCTAATGTGCTAATCAGATTAAGGTCTGGGGAGCGGCTAGTGTATAGCTTCAATGCTTTCATCTTGCAGAACGTGCTGACATATTCCATTCCCATGCAGTCTAGCATTGTCCTGCATAAAGAGGAACCCTGGGCCAACCACACCACAGGTCTGAGGATTTCATTTTGGTACCTAATGGCAGTCATGCTACCTCTGGCGAGCACATGGAGAGTTGTGCGGTCCTCCAAAGGAATGACACCCCACCCCATTACTGACCCTCTGCCAAACAGGTCATGCTGAGGGATGTTACAGGCAGCAGAACGATCTCCATGGTGTCTCCAGACTCTGGGTGTGTTTGATTTCAGAGGCTGCATCCTCCAAGGTCCCGGTCTATCTGGACTGGATCCTTCGAGGTCCGTGAAAATAAGGAGGCCGGTAGAGTTTTGGCTATGGATTCAAAAAGGTCCAGCTTTCACCGCACGTTCGCTTTGTCACCTAGCAACCATGATTGTTGACACAAAAAGCTGGAAAACAATGGATACAGAACCTTTCACTGTTGTTTTATAATTTTTTTATATTTATTGTAAAGTGAACAAAAACTACACTCATGAGAATACAGAGTGGAATAAAGGTGGCAACCACCAGGAGCATGAACAAATGAAAGCAAATATAAAAGGGGTAGAAAGAGATGAGTAAATCTAAATAATATATGTATAAAAATATATCTGCAAAATATCTTAAATGCAAATATTACCCGTCACATAATGACTCAATAACCATTTAAAAAAACTATGAATTTCAGATGGAGCTATTCACATACTTGTATTATATTAAACTGCACTTCCAATATTCACCACTGTTCGGCGCCAAGAACTTTTTCCTCTGAGCATGTCCAGCCAGCTTGCTTGGACTCACAATGAATCATGGGATATCCAAGGCAACATAGAATACACAGAGTCCTTCAAAACAGGCAAAAAGAAGAATGCATTTGTCGGCCACATAATAGGGAGTCTTGCAATCCAAACAGGCCTCTGCGCTGCACTATGAGGTAATCGGCCTATGAAGCTGGCCTTCAGAGGACGCAGCCCATGAATTTGAACTCAGCATCTGTCACTTCTGTAACATGTGCTCAGTGTGAATTTGGTTTAATCTGTGAAGAGCACAGGGTGCTAGTGACGAATTGCGAATCCTGATGTTGCCAAGCGTCCTGCACAGTGTTGGGCTGTGAGCACAACCTCCATCTGTGGACATCGGGCCCTCGTACCATCCTCACGGAGTCGGTTTCTAACCATTTGTACAGTGACATCCGAATATGTGGCCTGCTGGAGATCATGTAGGGGAGCTCTGGCAGTGCTCCTCCTGTTCCTCTTTGCACAAGCATGGGAGTAGCAGTCCTGCTGTTGGGTTGTTTCCACCTGACAGACACAGGAAACTATCTAGCCACAGTTTGCATTAATGTGGCATCCTGGATGAGCTGCACTACCTGAGACATAGATACAGAAAAGATGTCTGTGATTGCCACCTGCAAAACCACTCCAGTAATGAGTGTGTCTTGCTAATTGCCAATAATTTCCTCCTGTTGTCTCTTCCATTTGCACAACAACATGAGAAATTGATGGTCAATCAGTGTTGCTTCATACATGGACAGTTTGATTTAAAAGAAGTTAGATTTAATTGAAGTAATATTGTTTTGTTGATGTGTTCCCTTTGTTTTTCTGAGCATTGCATAAAATGTAAAATCTTTGAATTCATATCTTGGATTACGAGTCAATGCATTCAAATAATGCCTAAATAAATCCCTGAAAGCCTAAATATGGTACTCCTGCACATGATGAGTGTATGTAAACTGCTGCGCTTCACTGTAAAAACAGCAAGCCCTCATGTTCAGAGTTCTGCTTCAAAGAGGTGAGTAAAAAAGCACTGCCAAAACATCCAGAGTGCCCATATTCGTTGGGTTTGTCAGTCACGCAGCCGCTGTCTCCGGGGAATCTGTGACAAGAACTCCACATCATCATCTGAGGTAGAGGGGTGAGTGAGTATGATCCGGGGAATCTGCAGCATGAAAGAGAAAACGATTGAAGAAATAAAGAGCAGGTTATCAGATGTGATGAATTTAAATGTTCATTTTTACCCTTTTTAGGGGGAAATTTAAGGTTATGTGCTACTTAGCACCTTGCAAAATTATTTATACCCCTTGAACTTTTCCAAATTATATTAGATGTGAAAACAATTAAAGATATTGGCAGAACACCATTTGTAGTGAAGAACTAAACCTCTTCATGGTGGAGGCAGAATAATACAAGGGGAATGTCTTGTTTTTCTTTCTGAGTATGGGTACCAAAGCTAGTCAGTAGTTGCAAAGTAAATATGAGGCTGTCCGCAGAGGAAACATTTGAGATGTTAGAAAATGAGGGACTGGAGCTAAGATGATTCTTGCTGTAAGGGAATGTCTCGAAAGCCCAAACTGTAATGAGTTAGATTGAGGTGTAATCATTTGTTGGGATGCCCCAGTAAAAATATGTAACAGCACTTTAAAATTCCTGCTCACACAGACTCTCAATTCAATCTGGCTTGGTTTATGCTATTTTGCAAAGAATTATTGACAAAAATGTCAGTATTCAATATTTGCAAAACTGGCTTTAAAAGACTTGAAGCTATAAATGTTTCACTGGACCTTAATACCCTTGCATGCCAGACTTTTCCACCAGCTTCACAATGATGCTTTTTATGTTAAGTGTTTCAACATCAGAAGTGTTTGTGAACTTGAAATGAGACAAAATATGGGGGGGGGGGGAATCAAAGAGTATAAATACTGGCAGCATCGCTGCGGTTTGAAAATGGCAATGAATAAATCTCCCTACCATCATTGTGTGATTCATCTCTTTAAGAGTGTCTTTCTTGAACTCCTCTGCTTCAATCTCAGACACGGTTTTGCTCAGATCGCTGTCAGAATCAAGCTAAAACATATGGAAAATTTGTCAATATCAACAAAACGAGAGAAAAAAACTGTACAAGAGTAGACAATGTGTGCTGTTTTTTAGCTGTCTGGATTGATGGCTGTAAAACAATGTCAAATTTTCTATTATTTACTCTTCTCATGCCAGGAAGTGAATAAAAAAAACACCCACATTGTTGTAACCATTGCAGACAACAGCTTCAATCTTCTTGGGCAAACAGCTTTCTGCCTCTTCCAGTTCTGAGGAAGGCATCCTCTCTCTGAGCACCTTCAACTTGATGCAGCTCCCAGCATTTCTGAGGGCAGCGACTGCTTCATGGTGGGCTGCCCCCTGCATGCACAGACCGTTGACCTGAGAGGGCACAGGTCGGGTTATAAATCTTAGTGGCAAGAAGAGGGAGCAAGAGTGTGTCTCTGGGGAAATGACTGGAAATTACATGTTTGGGGGTTTATTTTTTCTCTCTGTCTTTTTTTTTTTTTGTCAATCAGCTTGTGCTCCCTTTTCTCTCAGTCCACACTGAGAGGCCTCTGTTGGTCTATGATGCCCCCCACTGGTTAGAAGCGATAAATCTAAGCTTCATAACACTGCAGTATATTTATGTAATACTTTCCTAAGGAATCAAACTTGGCCAAAGAAAAAAAAAACAACCAAAACAAAAAGCAAACATTCACTTTCCTACCTCAAGCACTCTATCTCCAACATGGATCCCAGCCTTTTCAGATGGTCCTCCTTGAGCTACCCTTGAAATAAAAATACCCTGAGAGGGAAAAAAAGTTAAGATTATAAAGCAATAAACTTAAAGTTTTCTCAGTTGGTTCATACAGTTGAGACAACTATAGGATTTTAGAGGCGCCTGCTTCAAATCATCCTCATCCAGAAAGCCAAAAAGCTGCCGAGTAAAAGACTGATGGGCTATGTTGCAAGACTGGGCAACTCTGCTCTCCTACTCCAGCACTCACCTCATCGTGATCTTTGTAAGGCAGAGATCCTTTTCCGCCAGCAATGCTTATCCCCAAACGACCACTTTGGCCCGATACTTTGATCTGCAACTGATAAAAAGCTTTCATCACAAGTAAAGCAAAGATTATGTGTAGTTCCCCCCTGATAGGAGCAGCTCAGTATAGATAACAGCAGCTGAAAATGGATTATGAACATATGAAGACACTCCTGAATTAGTTATAGCAAAGCCAGGGGGTTATTTTGACATTTAGGTAACAGGCAGTGTGAATTTACTTTTAATGGCACTTGAGAGGCGGATTCTGCAGGAAGACTGACTGGGGAAGAGCTCAGGAAGCTTGTGACTGATGGTGTCCTTATCTTGCAGACAGGGTCTCCATGGAGACCGGACCCTGCATTAAGAGCTGTGGGATGTGAGGAATTCTTGCCCTCTTGTGTTTCATCTATCTGATGGCGAAACAGACGTGGTGGAGCTTCTCTCGTAGAAAAACAACCTGTACAGCTCTGTTGGTATAAGAGAAATTAGTGCTCTCACTGTCCTCCAGTGAAATAAAATAGAATCAATCTACAGTACTGGGTTATATATATAGTGCTTCTGATAAACAATTCTTCCCTCTGAAGATTTTTCAAGGTTTGTTTTATGTTGCCTGTTTTATTTCTGGTTGTTTGAATAATTTTTTTCTGTTGATAAATAAAAATACATTTAACAGAAATCATCCATCCATTTGTTTTCATACCCCTTTATTACAATCCCACTAAATAAAATAAGGCTTTATTGCCTTCAGAAGTGGATTTATCAGCGACTAAACGCATTAAACGCTCATGTAAAACCTTAAGAGGTTCTGTTGGCAAGAATAGAAGATGTCCTTATTATGACACAATATCCCTCTAAAAGTCTTCTAAAAGGAATCAGATTAAATATATTTACTGTAGAACAGTTTATATAGTGAATTCCTCTCGACAAAAATTTATTTGCATAAAGCTGAATTTATTATCAGTTTATGATTAGTTTTAAATATTCACTTTCCATGTGAATGCAGTGCATACATTTGTTTTGAAACTTTCAGTGTCGGGTTTCATGTAGAAATGTTCTAATGTTTAAATGTTTACATTTAGAATAGTTGTTTATAAATCTAAATTGAGCTATAAACATTGATTATAGAACTAAAATTGGTGTAAATTACCATTTTGTGTTCATTCCGTAGTTTAAACATTTGAATTGAATTTTTTTTTTTTTTTTATATATATTTTTTAGATTTAGATAAGTTTTCTTCTTAAAAGGCTTATTATTGACATAGTCATGCACGTAATTTTGGAGAAGGGACAGGGGGAAAATGTCCCTTGCACTTTTTCAAATGTCTGTTTTGGTCCCATGCACTTTTTACTATCCAAAAAACAATTTTATGCTAAAGTACACCGACTATCATTATGCACTAGAACCAAGTAGAAAAACTGCAGCTCAAGCTGAAGCCCACTTCCCTGAGCTTAAACCGCCCAAAAGCTCCTGATTGGCCCACCGTCTTTTCCTGTGTGATTGGCTGTCACTCCTGAGAAGCTCACTTTACAAACATCTTATGCGCCACTGAATCAGGTCTGGGATTGGATGGTCAAACACGCTAGAGTTAGTTACATTATAAAAAACTTGAAAATTTCATCCATTATCATAATGCATATCTATTTTAAACCTATATGTTGTGCTTGATGGGGCTAAGGTGGGAAGTCCATGTAGTTTTTTCCAACAAGCCATGTAGGGGACAAAATTAAAGGAAAAGATACAGCCAGAGCTTCTGTTAAATGGCTCAGATCAAAGTATAATGAAGTGAGTTATCAATTGCAAACATTTAAAGGAAGTAAATACTTTTGAGCGGTGCTGTATCAAATAACTGGATGATCTCAGCTGTGCATTTAGAAAGTATTAAGTCACAGCTTAAAGCTAGCTGGATCAAGAACAACTTTTTATAGTGGGGATGGTATCAGGAAATCAGATACAACCCATTTTAGTCTATTGAAAGACCTTTAGAAATGCTGCAGCAGCTAAAAATTAAAGAATAAAAGCAGGTCTGCTTCTCAAGCTAAAACAAAAAAAAGGAGAATCTGTGGAGAGCATGGAAGAGTTCAACTAAAACAGACCTCTTCTGCTGGTTCAGCTCTTTCTTTGCTCCTCTGTAGGTCAGAGCAGCAAACACAAGCATTATTCTTGACAGCAAACATCTGAGGTCCCCAGTCTTTGGTCCCAGTCCAGCTGAAGTCTGAGACGGCCCAGCTCTGGCAGCCGGTCCCGGGGGGCGGATTACTGTGACGGTTCCTACTCTCCTATAGATAATCAGAAGACATCAGCTGACGCTAAAAAAAATAAAAAAAGTCATTTCAGGAAGAAGGACCTAAGCAATGACTGGAGGGATAAAAAAAAGTCCCTGATCCTGACTGTAAGTGCTCAACGTCAAGCTGTTAAGGAATGAAAACAAAAAGTGAACGCTGCAGTATTAAAATCCTGATCTTATTCACAGAGAATGCATACTTACATACAGTAACAGATTCAAAGAGCAATCTTACATTTTTTCCAACAACATAGGCTTGATTGAACCTGAAATGTGAAAAGATTACATAGAAAAAGGCATGCCACTGCAGCATAAAACGCAGCACATGCAGGGTGGAGGTGCTCTACATCATGCTCAGCTGGTTGGAAACAACAGGGAAAACAAAAGGATCTGGGAGCTTATCTATTATGTCAAAACCATGTTTCATTTAAATCCACCCCAGCAGCCAATTTTCTTTGGATGAGCATCATTTTGAACCCAACGCACCTTTTCTTTTGCCACACTCTGCTAATCACAGATCACCTCGAGGCAAAATGCAGGAAGGAATAAGAAACATGTGGGTTTAGTGTTGCACTCACTTTTATTGATCAGTGGTTAAAAAGGTCAGCAAATCTCAAGGTTTAGAGCCAGTCTGAGATCTTTACTGTGCAGCTTTATCGGAGAATAATTGCACACAAAAAAAAGAACACTTGAACCATTTGCTCTGGTCCACTTTCTGCAAATCGATCTAACAGCAAATTAACACAGTTTATCAGGTACCATTATAAAACAAAAGTGGAGTATCAATGAGAAGTGCATCTGAGAGGAACAATGTCAATTTTAGAGTAATCATCATAAAAAACCCTCAATCTCCCCAAAGCTCTGATAGTTGATCTACACAGTTCTCTTTAAAATAAAGCAAACCTTAAAAAGATAAAAATATGTCCGTTTGGCATCTATTAGGAAAAGTAATGCAAAGCAGTAAGGTACAGCGTTATTGAATAGAACAGGATCCTGACAGAGTAATCACAATGCAAATTGCAATGTAAATTTGATGTGCAGTAATTGAATGCAGAGATGAATATTCTAAAAAAAACATTCCCCAGACAGTGGATTTAATAAGACATTGCTGACTGTTTTGTTCATTACCTTGATTTTAGAAAAATAGAGATCCATGTACCAAGTTAAAGTGAAGCTTAAACCGATTAAGAAGAGACTTGCTATACATTTTTATTTACATCTGAGCTGCCAAAAAGTATAAAAGTATCAATATTCACAATAGATTTACAATAATCTTTAAATCAGTAGGTTCGAAAACCCGGCTCCTATTCTCTGCCCCAAAATGTAGAAAGACCCAGTGTTTTAAAAAATAAAATAAAACAAACACAATACATTTAATAGGTTTGTAGTGCAACTACCTAATGAATTCTTAAAGATCACTTTTTTAAAAAGTAATGCATTTTTAAAATATACTGTCAAAAAAAGGAGCATCTCTGTGCAGGTCGTTGCTGCGGGTGTTTGTTAAAAAGAGGAAGGCACGGCGGCCCTGGTAGACAGTTTCATTTTTTTTCCCCCACAGGACTGGAGATGGAGCAAGCTTTCAGGTTGTATGACCAGACGACAGGTAGGCCAAACTGGGAATTTGTAGGTAAAAAGAAAAAAAAAAAAAGGCAACAACAACACAGGACTGCAGGGTTGCGCAGGGCGATATGGCAGGACACAGAAGGAGAAAAAAACAAAAACACTTCTGAGGTAAAGGTCAGACGGACGTAGTCACTCCATCTGCAGCGTTATTGACCTCGTTTTTGTTGGAGTCCAGGGCGTTGCGGACGCTCTCTGCGGTTTTCTTCATGGTTTTTAGCTCGCCGGGGTGAGGCGTGGCTCTCCGTAGTAGTGTTCCCTGTGAGAGAGATGCACATCAACAGTTGAACATATACCATTAAAAAGTCCTGATACTGTGGCGTTCAGGCGGGATGACTGAGCTGTGATGCTTACAATTAGCGGATATTGAGTGCTTTAAGGTAAATTGGGGGCTGCATAAAAATACCCGTGATACAAAACCCAGGCTTATCTTGAAGAAAATGAAAATCTAAAACAAGCGGTCATGGCTTCTGCTCTTTTCAGAGCAGAAGTTCTCCCTCAGTTAAGCAAACAAGAACTTGGCAGAGAGACGTTTGAATACCTTCCCATATTTCAACACACTCCTGAGATTGTGGAGAATTAATGTGAATCACAGTGATACCAAGAAGTAGAGCTGCTCGGTTACATCAGGTAATACACATGAAAAACAGGTTTTTAATGGAAATCAGCTGCGAAAGCAATGAGGATGCCTCTCTGTGTCTGTTGGCAGGGTTCGGTCGGAGAGTTTTATATTTACAACTCTGCAGATCTGCAAGTCTTTATTTATATTACCACGTAATGATTCACAATGAATTACACTCCAATAAACAACATCAATCTGGTTTTATGTTTAGCCTTTGAGTCTTTTTGTGAAGGAAATTAAGAGCTGCATCATCTCCTGCTTAAGGTTTTTTAAAACAATTTTATGAATTTTTCATGAATCAAGAGCTAACCAAAATGAAAATATATATATATAATATAATGCATCTATTAAAAACGTCTCTATTCTAAAGTTGATTTATTTCATTGATTCACACATGATTTATTTCAAGCTTTCATTTGTATTAGAGTTTGATGACTTACAGCTAAAAAAATATAAGTTTCTCAGAGAACTTTTATATTTTATAAAGATTTTATTTAAAAAAAAATTAGATTCTAGTGAAGAAATGTTTTCCAGCTGTATAATACGCCAACATTAAGCTTCCTCAATACT